TGAAAAAGAGGATAAAATCATGGCACTGAGATTTACATGCTGTTTTATTTTCAGTATTTCCTTTCGATTTCACAAAAGAGCGCTTGATCGATCAGAGGTAAAAAGGACCATGTCTCCTCCACTGGTCCTCAATTTTTTAGTCTCTTAAACTTAATCTTTGCTGATAAACAGTTGTTGATAAAAATGTTATGTTTTTCTCTAAGGAAATTTTTTGTGAGGTTGTTTTGTATTTTTTAGACAAAGTTGTTTATTTTAATTCGCTGCTTGGCCAGAGGAAGATTAGCTACATATTTAAATTACAGAGCAAGAATTTCTGCAACAAACAGAAAACATTTGTTGAATACATCACGCGATGCTATACATACAGCCACTCCCTAATGTGACTGTGGGCGGCTTTTGGCCTGGAGTTGATGTCATAAGACGGAGCCCAACCTTCACGAGTGTTTCGACCCTTAACTGCTACACCCTCCAGCTTGCAGGTAGGCAGTGGTGGCCTGGTCACTACCCATCACCTGGACAGAATAAATCACAATACGTCACCAGGTCCTGAAGGCCTGTGCGGAGCAGCTCTAAGGGATTCTACAGCAGCTTTTCACCCCTAGTCTGACCCTGGAGACAGCCCAGTAATGTGGAAGATCTCCTGCCTTGTTCCAAAACCAAAGAAGACCAGAACCAAAGAAGCTTAAGCTTGGTTTATGACCCTACGCACTCTGGTGCACCTCCCCAAAATTGTAGGCGACCGCAGACAGTGCAGCAGATAGCGTTGCTGGGAGGAGAGTAAGGAGGCCTCTGGTTGGTCAATTCTACCACTCTACACTATGCTTATTTCCTGTTTTAGTACCTAATGGCTGAAACTCTGGCTGTAGTGAAGTCCACAACGCCTGGCACACCTCGGACACTGTCCCAGATACCATGCAGGATGCTAGTTTGTGCGACGGTCTGTTGGTTTGCACCCGAAGCCAAAACACTTAGCCCCACGGCCAGTCTTTGGGGAACACTCACGGGTGAACTTTATGTCATCCGGCGTTGGATGAGGGGTTGTAGATGGCGAACAAGCTCGTCAAACCGACACACAGACACCCACAATCCTAGCTAGTTCGTGATTGTCCCTCTTGCATTGTGGCGTAGAATAACATAGAACAGACCACGCTTCAAAACCTTACTTTGTCTGTTCAGCCAGTTGAAGAACCCCTCCTTTAATGACCGACCCTTCACAATCATAGACAGGTTTCAGGTATTAGAGGAGACAATCCCCCCTTTAAAGACAATCTCCCCCTTTAATGACTGATCTTCAGAATCATAGACAGGTTTCAGATATTACAGTCTAACAATGGGACCAAACGACCCACTCGTTGGTTTCTATTTACATGTTTCCAAGCGATACAAGGCCTTGTCTATATAAAGCCTCAAGCTCACTGCAGATCCAGACATTTGAATTGAGAAAACTTCCTGGAGTGGAAGCGAAATGTCTTCAAACCTTGGAACCACGTTCAGTGGAATTTTTTTTTTTACTTTTACAGAGGATTTGTTTTTATATTCAAAGCAACCAGGTTACATTGAATAATGTTATCAGCCCCCTAAACCCAGAAGTCTAGTTGATTTATTTTTTTTTTTTTTTGGAAGGATGCCTAGCCTAATGAATATAGTCTATTAACCAAAAGCAATATGCATGGTCTGGTTGTTACATGCCAGGTACGCCGGTTATTGACCTTGACCAAGGCACCTTACAGTAGAACTGTAGTCAGTGCCTGGACTGGCATGGCTATCACTGCCCCTACATAGTTAGCATGGCTATCACTGCCCCTACATAGTTCCCACTGGGATCAGCTTCATAGTCATGGTAGGACTGCCGCATGGTTTTACTTTCGTTTTCTAGCATGAACAGACTATTAATGATATAGTCAAGACCACATCAACCTAGATCAAAGGGGACCGAGACAAGACCAAAGGTCTCGGTTGGTGTGGTGTTGACTACAACACTACGGCGTATGTAAGCTCAACTAGATTGAAGTCTAGACTTTGATTAGGCCACCTCGTATCTTTTGTTTTGTTGTTACTCCTCAAGCCATCAAGCTGTACAACCCCCCTCCATCTTGTTCTAAACATTACCTATTGTCCCTCATGTGCAATATTCTTCTCTCACTGTGCAATAACACATTCCAACTACTGTGTAGTCTGTCATTTTTACTTATTATTGCACTGTACTGCAGAGATGAACTGACCGTATAAATAAGTCAACTACTGTGTAGTCTTCCCGTAGATCTCTGCTGTGCAGATATTCTTATATCTAAAGGAAACATATTCCAGGACATTATAACTTTTCTTATGCTCTTTTTTACTACATACACTCTTTTTATATTGTCTGTTGTATTTTTATATTTATTGGCATCTTGCTTTAACTCTTTGTACGTTATATAAGCTACTGGAACCAGAATTTCCCTGAAGGAGTAATCCCAAGGGATAAATAAATAAAGCTGAGTCTAGTCTTTTTTATCACATCCTAGTCTGGCTACTGTGGATCAGTTTTTAGGGAAGAAAGCAGCCAAGATCTTCTCTCTACCACCAACATATTTAACTGGATTGTCCTTTGCTTAAGTTTTGCATTTTTTCCGTCATCCACTGAATATA